GTGTGTGTGTATATATGTGTGTGTGTGTTTTTTTGTGTGTGTGTGTATATATATGTGTGTGTGTATTTATGTGTGTGTGTATATATGTGTGTGTGTGTATATGTGTGTTTGTGTGTATTTGTGTTTGTGTGTGTATATGTGTGTGTGTGTGTATATGTGTGTGTGTGTGTGTATATGTGTGTGTGTGTGTATATGTGTGTGTGTGTGTGTATATGTGTGTGTGTGTGTGTATATGTGTGTGTGTGTGTATATGTGTTGTGTGTGTATATGTGTGTGTGTGTGTATATGTGTGTGTGTGTGTATTGTGTGTGTGTGTGTATATGTGTGTGTGTGTGTGTATTGTGTGTGTGTTTATTGTGTGTGTGTGTGTGTATATGTGTGTGTGTGTGTATATGTGTGTTGTGTGTGTGTATATGTGTGTGTGTGTGTATTATGTGTGTGTGTGTGTATATGTGTGTGTGTGTGTATATGTGTGTGTGTGTATATGTATGTTGTGGTGTGTGTGTATATGGTGTTGTGTATATGTGTGTGTTGTTTTTGGGTGTGTGGTGTGTGTGTTTGTGTGTGTTTATGTGTGTTTGTGTGTGTTTTGTATATAATCCTGCCTAAAATTATTACTATTACATTGAGCTTATATAGTGCCAAAGGGTTTGCTCAGCGCTGTACAATAGAGAGGGGGGGACAATACATGAAACAGTGAAGCAACAACAAACAGCACACGAGGAGTTAGAGGGCCCTACTCTTTCGAGCTTACAATCTAGGATAAATTGACCCTGAGCTTTGATCCCAACCATTGAACCTGGCTTGGCTCTGACTTTAATTTTTGCCCCCCAACTCAATCCCTGACACTGGCCTAGATCAAACTTTGATTTGGCTATTTTTTTTTATTTTTTACACACTTTTGTTTTCTTACATTTTTCTCCTCTATTTAGGAGAGAAAAATACAATGTATCTTTCTTAGGGATGCACCGACATTTTGGTGGCCGACACATTTCAGCCGAAAACTCGCCTTTCGGCCGGCAGCCGAAATAAAAAAAAAAAAAAAAGCACCGATAGAGGTGTTGAAAAAACCCTGCCGCTGCCGCCACTGGCCGCCGCTCGGTAGTTCTGAGCCTTACCTGAGAAACCATCGAGTGATCCCGGTGCTGGGCATTGAGATGAGTGAAGGAAAGATGGCCTCCACTCATCTCTATGTCCTTGGACCCAGCATTGTCACTTCTGGTTCCGGCCAGTGCAAAAACAAAAAAAAAAAAACCAAAAACATAATTTTTTTTTAAAAAAAGTTTAAAGTGCCCCCGTCCCCCCGTGCTCGCACATAGTGGTGAATGCATACGTAGGCCATGCCCACATATGTAAACGGTGTTCAAACCACACACGTGAGGTATCGCCACGAACGTCAGAGCAAGAGCAATAATTCTAGCACTAGACCTCCTCTGTAACTTTACACTGCTAACCTGTAGACATTTTTAAAGTATCACCCATTAAGATTTTTAAGTACCGCAGTTTCACGCCTTTCCACAAGTGTGCGCAATTTTAAGGCGTGACATGTTGGGTATCTAATTACTTGCCTTATCATCCTCTCATATTTTTAGAAAAAAAATTGGGGTATATATTGTTTTCTTTAATCAAACTGTATTTTTTTCCAAAAAATATATATTTCATTTTTAAAAACTGCGCCATTTGCTTTTTAGCCAACTGTACTTTGAATTTTTGGTTTCAGCACCAGAATTTTCATTTTGGTGCACCACTAATCTTTCTCCCTAAGCGGAGGAGAAATGAACACGGGCAGGCTGAACAGTGACTGATCACTGTGATAGCCAACCCTGATCATTAGTACAAGACCCAGGGCTGTCTGTGAGATCTCAGTCTTTGTGCTGGGAGCATGTTGTGCAGTGCATGTCCAGCACAAACACAGGTACGCATCTATACGGCCTCACAGAATAAGGCCTACATCAGGGAGGATACATATATGTGTGCAGTCAGCGATTAAGAATGACAAATTATTTGGGCTGTCCAGAATAACCCCTTCTCTTTTCTACAGAGTTAAACTCTGTGGGCCTGAATGTCCCACAATTAAGTACTGTGCTGCCCAAATTGTACAATTTTTTTTTTTTCATGTGTACACCAACGTCTTACTATTTGTAAGCATGGAAGCATATGCTGCTGCCCCACTCAACAACACTGGAACCCTTGTGCTTCCCCCTCTTTGTAGACAAAATATTACTAATCAGATCATTAAACATCAATTACAGATATGGGCAAACAATAAATTCTGAAAACATCTATTACCCCATTCGCTTTCTGTCCTGAGGGAAAATCCCATAATCCTTCCAATGGTAGCATTCAGCTAAATTCTTAAAACGTAAAACTACGTAATAGCCTTAAGTCTTTTGAATGTCTGCAGAACACAGACAATATTCCATCCTTCAAAATCTGATTCTTACATCTCAAAAATGACATCTCCTCTCTTATGACATACAGAATTAGGTGTACGTTTATCATAAAGTGGTAAATGACTGCTACTGTGTTCTCTGGCTGTCTGAGAGGAGACAGCTCCTGTTTATGAAGCGATGTAGATCCCTTCTGATGAGGAAAGAAGAAATCTACAAACGCTTTGAACTATGGAAAACAGCTGTTACTGTAATCTCGCGAGATCTAGTGAGATTACAATAACGAGATCAGTAAAATGCACAGCTGTCAGTTTATTAAGCAGTGGTAAATGACCTCTGCTGAGGTGGCTGCTCTTCTCTGTACACATATACACAATAATAAAACATTTATATATATATATATATATCTACATACAATCACAAATATATTTATAAACTGCTCTAGAGTTTTGGGGATGTTATGAAACGCAGGGGGGGGGGGCTTTCCCACTGTCTTGGAGGCTCTGAAGGAAGAAGAACGTCTGAAAACTTTCTCCTTCCCCCTCAGAACTCCAGCGATTCTCCCAGATTCTCCATCCCTGGGAGAGAATTTTCACACAGATCGCCGGTGAAGGGCTGACACCGCTCCTTCATATATTAGCCATTTCTGTGTCTGTCAATTGCAGATTCTCTGTGTGCTGAGAAGATCAGCAGAGAACATGTTCTCTGCTGATCGTCTCTGTTTCATAAACCACTAATGTACTGAAATCAGCAGCGATCCCAGCTTCATAAATGAACATCTTACTCCCTACGAATCCATCTGCAAGAATAACCCCCATTCACCCAAAAGAATTACCACCTCCTCTCTTTCCATATCCTCTTCAGGCCATTCATCACCCCCTTCTTATATACAGAAATGGGAGAAGGATATATGCCAACCCCTCTTACCAATTGGCTGGCTATGATTAATATTCAAAGTCTTTGAGTAAAACTTTTGCCTCAGAAACAAATTACTGATTTGCTGCTATCTTGCACCAATGCATATAGCCAAGGCATTTTCTGGCTCTTTTCCCTGCTGGTTTAGGGGTTGCCCTGTTCAAGGCAGCTACTACCATGTTTAATGGTCCTGTCCAATAAGCAGTTTTGGCAAGATCTCTGTTCTATAATCTCTACCCTCTTGGGCTAAAAATGGACCTGTGAAAAGTTATTTTAAACATTTTTGTTTTACATTTAGAAACAATGAACTGCAGTTTCCACTGCTTCAACCAATCTTCCATCAATGCTAGATCATTTTCCGTGTTACAGATACCTCCAGGGATATCAATCCTATTGCACACTTTTCTGTCATCAGCAAAAAGGCATACCTTACCTACCAACCCTTTAATTATATCTCAATAGATGAAATAGAACAGGACCTAGTACACAGAGCCTTGTGGTACCCCACTGGTGACTGCTCTCTGTTCCAAATGAACCCCATTTACAACCACATTCTGATATCTATCCTTCAGCTAACTGCATATCCACTGAACCACCCAAGGGTTAACTTCTAGCTTGTACAACTTTTTTTTTATCAAATCATTATGTGGAACTGTATCAAATGTTTTGCTAAAATCAAGATAGGCTCACAGCACCACCCTCATCCAAAACAATAGTCTAAAAATTTCAAATTTGTCTGATGTGATCTGCCCTCAGTAAAGTCATGTTGCTTTGGATCCACCAATTTGTGTGTTTTTAAGTAATCAACGATGCTTCTTTTTAGAAGTGATTCCATTAAATTGACTACAACCGATGTTAAACTCACTGGCCTATAATTGCCAGCTTCTACCTTGCTGCCCTTCTTGTGGATAGGTCTGCCAGTCAGGAGGAACTTCTGCTAGAAGAGATTAAGTAAATAAAAATTAGTGTTACTAAACCCACAACAGTAAAATCAATCTATATATGCAGTAAAGCATGCATGTTATACTCACTGTGGAACTTAAGGGGTTAATCCTACGCATTGTGTAAAAAGGATGTTTGATCCTGTCTTCTCTGATCCTACCCCTCTTCTACTGTCCCCAATCCATCTCCTGATAGAACAGAGCCTTGGGGGCAAGCAGCACATGCTCAGTTTAGTGTGTATTACTACAGCAGTTTTTTCTTTTTCTTGGGAGGGTGCATATGATCAGCACAGGGCCATTTGGCGCTGTCCAGACAGAGGGACAGTGAGAGGGGAATGAAAACTACTCCTACAAGCTTTAACTAGTGCTTTGCTGGACACTGATAGAGCAGACTTGTGACAGTAACTGCTGATGAGAAAAGGTATTTAGCAGTTTATATTTACTAAAGTGATTGCATTTCGGTGTACTGTGGGAGAACAGATATAGTGAATGCAGGGTTCTGGGTTTAGTAACACTTTAATGGTTCAACAATTATACCTCGAAATTCTGTTTGAACTCTGGAATGAATACATCAGGACCCATTGATTTATTAAGCTTTAACCCAGGGGCATATTTGCCGTGAGGCAAACAAGGCGCTTGCCTAGGGCAGCACTTTTCTCAGGGGACCGGCGCAGTGGCAGCATCGCGCCGCCCCCCCCCCTTTCCCACGGAAGAGACACTTCCATGGGATAGGGACAGGGGCTGCTGCGTCTTACACATCATTAGTGTCAGTGGAAGGAATAGTGCCCCATCATTGGTATCAGTGGGAGGAATAGTGCCCCATCATTGGTATCAATGGGAGGAATAGTGCCCCATCATTGGTATCAGTGGGAGGAATAGTGCCCCATCATTGGTATCAGTGGGAGTAATAGTGCCCCTTCATTAGTGTCAGTGTGGGAGGAATAGTGCCCCTCTCATTGGTGTCACTGACACCAATGAGGGGGCACTTTTCCTCCCACTGACACCAATGATGGGGTGCTATTCCTCCCACTGATACCAATGATGGGGCACTATTCCTCCCACTGATACCAATGATGGGGCACTTATTCCTCCAAAAAGCGTTTAATACTACGAACAAAAAAAAGTAAATATATATATATAAAGAAGTCACTATTCCTCCCATTGATACCAATGATGGGGCACTATTCCTCCCACTGATACCAATGATGGGGCACTATTCCTTCCACTGGCACCAATGATGGGGCACTATTCCTCCCACTGACACCAATGATGGGGCACTATTCCTCCCACTGACACTAATGATGGGGGGCACACCATCATTGGTATAAGTGTGTGGACGTAATAGTACCCCATCGTTGGTGTCAGTGAGAGGAATAGTGCCCCATCGTTGTTGTCCATGGGAGGAATAGTGCCCCATCATTGGTGCCAGTGGGAGGAATAGTGCCCCATCATTGGTGCCAGTGGGAGGAATAGTGCCCCATCATTGGTGCCAGTGGGAGGAATAGTGCCCCATCATTGGTATCAGTGGGAGGAATAGTGCCCCATCGTTGTTGTCCATGGGAGGAATAGTGCCCCATCATTGGTGCCAGTGGGAGGAATAGTGCACCACCGTTGTCAGGGGGAGGAATAGTGCCCCATCGTTGTTGTCAGTGGGTGGAGCTCCAGGGGGGGGGGGGGGGGGGGGGGGGGGGGGGGGGGGGGGGGGGGGGGGGGGGGGGGGGGGGGGGGGGGGGGGGGGGGGGGGGGGGGGGGGGGGGGGGGGGGGGGGGGGGGGGGGGGGGGGGGGGGGGGGGGGGGGGGGGGGGGGGGGGGGGGGGGGGGGGGGGGGGGGGGGGGGGGGGGGGGGGGGGGGGGGGGGGGGGGGGGGGGGGGGGGGGGGGGGGGGGGGGGGGGGGGGGGGGGGGGGGGGGGGGGGGGGGGGGGGGGGGGGGGGGGGGGGGGGGGGGGGGGGAATAGGAAGAGGTGGAGTCTAAAGAGGAAAGGGTGGAGTTTGCAGGTGAAGGGGTGGATCTTAAACAGTAAAGGGTGGGACAAATTTAGATGTGGGGGGGGTGCCCGATTTAAGTCTTGCCTAGAGCAGCACAAAACCAAAATAAACCACTGCTTTAACCCACTTAGTTCCTGTCTCTAGAAATCCGAAAAATTTGCCTTCATTCCTAGAATCAATATGGTATTGTAGCTTTTGTTTGTTAATGCAATTTATTTCTTAGAAGACTAAACAGAACTAATTGTTTAAATTGTTTGGTACATTCAGGTATCCCCCAGCATAAGTGTTGTACCCAGTTTTTATTTTAGCAATCCCATTATATTTTTCCTTCCATCGCTGATGTACTTAAAAAGGTTTTGTCTCCTTTCTTAATAGATTTAGCCATTTCCTCTTCTTTCTGTTCTTAACTGAAAGTTAGGCATACATTTAAGAAAAGGCATCACTTTCCCCAAGCTTACTGGACTCAATGGATCTTATAAAAAAAAAAACTTGCGGAGCAGATTTCTGAAAACAACTGAAAACAATGTGTAGACCCCAAAAACATCACTCAGGCATGACATTAAAATGTTAAATATCAGGATGACGCACTGCAGTAGTGCATCGTTCCTCCCCACGTCTAGATTGAAGCAATGTTCTTGACTGAGTAATTGCATGCACCACAGCATGGTGCATGCATTACTGCACAATGCTGTAATGTGCACACCACACTTTGGTGCGTTATGGTGCTGTTCATTTTAAATGGCGTTTCAATAAACTACTACAGTAGCAGGTGACTCATTGACACTGCAGTGTACAATATGGCATAGACTGTGCGTTAAGGTGTTCTGAATTAAAAAACAGTCCAAATTTTTATGTGTAAAGGTGCCCTGCCAGCCTATTCCAAGGCTGTCAATGGGCCCTAGGTTTAGCAGTTACCACGTAGAACTTCACAATTGCGGCACAGTAGCACATGTGTTGAGCTCTAGCTCTGTATACATGACTCAGTGTAAAGGTGCCCTGCCAGCCTATTCCAAAAATGTAAGGTATGCTGTCAATGGGCCCCTAGTTTTAGCAGTTACCACGTAGAACTTCACAATTGCTGCACAGTAGCACTTGTGTTGAGCTCAAGCTCTGTACACAGGACTCCGTGTAAAGGTGCCCTGCCAGTCTATTCCAAAAAATGTGAGGTATGCTGCCAATGGACCCCTAGTTTTAGCAGTTACCATGTAGAGCTTCACAATTGCGGCACAGTAGCACATGTGTTGAGCTCTAGCTCTGTACACAGGACTCTAATGAAATGGACTTGATACTTAAAACAGAACTACGCTGCCTCTGAGCACTACAAACCCAAAATGCTATTTAGACCATTTTTAATTTTCAAAGCAAACTCTCCCATCCATCCATGTCTCCATGATTTATTTTTCTGAGAAATCACTTTGAAAAATACCCCCTAGTATTTATGGCTGTGGCCATAAGGGTAGTATCATTTTTTTTCCTGGAATCCATCTTCCTTTAGCTTAGGCATGGAGACAGAAGGGTGTGCTTAGCTCAGAAAACCCCTACTCCACTCCTAAAGACTTCTGGGATGTATGACATCATTTGCCTAGGCATGGAAACCAGTAAGTAACCAAAGAAATAAGTTTTAAAAAAGTTTAAAACAAGTAAATATGATATACTTTCCTATCTACTAATGTTAGCTTTATAAGGATTAAAAAAAAAAATCAATGTTGATTGGGAGAGTGAAGTTCTGCTTTAAATCACACTTGACTTAATACTTAAAGACTCAAAACTGAATAGGTGCTTTAGTGTGAATTCACACATGTGCATTGTGAATTGAAGCTCTGTTTTCACAGCTAATTGACAGAGTAGTTGTTCAGCAGTTCAGATCAGGTATAGATTAGATCAGGTTTACATCAGGATCAAGAGAAATAAATGGCCTGAAATCGTTTTCACAATATGACATGTGCAATTCAGACGCAGTTCCCATACAAGCAATAGCCTGTAATCCACACCTGAAACAGATTGTACTGCTCAGAAATAGGACAGGACTCTTTTTCAATCTGCATTGAATCTGTACTGCCAGTGCACCGGACATATGTAAACAGACACCATAGAAAACAATGTTGTTATTTCTTATGTCATGCAGATTGGATTCAGTTCAAACCACATCCAATCCGCATGTATGCGAACCAGCTCTTAGAGAAAAATATTCAGGGTCAGTTTACAACACAGCAGAATTCTTGTGAAAGTTGCAACTCCTTTTGGAGCAGGAGTTGAACACACTAGACAGTCTCATCTATCTATTACCCGGTTGCTACATGGCCATTTTAAAACTGAGGTGCTTTTGAGTAGCCTTCTCCAACTTCTGCAACTACAGGTCTCAGCATGCCCTGCTATACATATGGCACAGGATTTGCCACAATATATTTTTTTTTTCCATAACATCTGAAGAACAGATTGGCAATGCTGCCATAGACAATTTGTCCTTATTTTTTGGACCCAGAGGTGTTTCTATATGTTGGCACCAAATCATGCATATTTTAAAGTATTTCATTTTCATAAATGTGTCTTGTAGCATATTGTATTTGAAAATAACTGTACAAGAGATATGCCCATTGTGCAAATGCAAACACCCAAGGTAGGAAGATATAATATAAATCTACAGTACATAAAGTAATTCAATGCCATTCCATAAATCACTGTGCATTCTGCAAGTAAAACTGTTTTAAAATGCTATAAATAAAATGAAGTCATAAAAAAATCTTTGTGCAAAACCCTATGATGGGCTCTTAATGAATGTGCAAATGCTAATCATATATAATGCATTAAATAATCATAAAGCAGAAGCTAAACTGTGCCATAATGCACAGCTTGCCTCTAATTGCCGCTTTACAAGACATATTATTCAAAATGTGGGGTCATTGCCTTAGCATCTTGGAGTTCTTTTTTTTCTTATTATGAAAAATGCTGTCTAATGCGTTTAGGGTAGGGATTAATATTGATAACACGATATGAAAATCAAATGAGAAGAGTAAAACAGATTATATAAAGTCAATTGCATTTGTCAAAGGCTGTACTGAATATTGCTCTAGGTACACCAGAAGGAAGAGCAAAATCTAATTAAACATAACACTGTTCAACAAATTTTTATTTTTTGCCAGTTTTGGAAAAAAGGATCCATTTCTTAATGAATTTCACATTCTGAGTTCAAATATAACAATGAAATTTGTCAATTGGCTCTAGTTTTTCTGTAAACGGAAAGTTTTCTACTATAGGCGTAATGACTACATAATGCACAATAATTATATAGATAGATGTCTTTCCACAAATATAAAGCAAGTGATATTGACTACATAACAAAGCCTAAATGGCATAATATATTGCATAGGATTACCAAGAAAGTTTGTGTCGGTTTTGCTTCTCTTGGCTTTTCTCTTGTATTCGAGGAAAGGGCTATCTCTTACAACTGCACGTGACTACACGCTTCAGGTTCTTCCTCACTTGACTCAACCACGAAGGATTCTGGTGCTTTAGGATTGGTAGCCCCTCTCCATGAGGAACTGGACGTATTGCCGATGGAATATTTGGATAGTGCACAGATAACTTTTTCTTCTTATTTAGCCCTTTTACAATTGGAGGCACCATACAAAAGTAACAATTACTAACATGATCTGTTGGCTCTCTCCAAATCATTGGCACAGCGAAAGGCATAGATGCCTTTTTTCCATTCAACCATTGCTCCAGTGCCGTCCCACAAGAATTGCAGCATATATGTGGTGCCCAGCTCTTGTCCTGGTCTCCTATCTTGCAGCCAAAATACAAGTTGTAGGCTTTCTTAATCATTCCTGTTATCCTCCTTTTTTGTGAGATAAAAGTTATTTCACCGCAGATATAGCAGAAATTATCTGCTTTATTCACACAAGTTCGAGGCATTACTGAGTAGCCTATATAAGCATAAAACGAAATGTAAAGACGCTGTCAAACTACAATCAGCTACAGATACTGCAGCTTTTATGCAGTGAAGTGATGCAATTAAAGGCTAATATTGCATCATCTCAGTATACATGCAATTTTCTATTGGTCACCAGTATCAATTGCGCAATATGCAGCTGAAGTTGCATCATAATTTTGAATGGCTTACGTCATTAGATGGGTGAATATATCATGGAAACTAGAGCCAATCAACATTTTTTAGGGTCATTTTCGTTTTCAGCACCCCAAAATTATGTAAGATTAGCTAATTTTATGCCCAAAACTTTTTTACCTGTTGAACAGTGTAATCTTTTAACATGTATAACTTATTATAATGCATTTTAATTAAATATTTTATTTTGAATTACATATTCTATATTTGATATCAGTAACTTTGAGTGTCATGCTAAAATGCATGAAATTTTAATAATTATTGTCTACTGAAAAAAGTCACAAAAAAGAGATCTTATATACACAGAAACACATTGAATGCTTATTCTTGCTGAGAGTTTCTGTTCACGAATGGTTTGAGCAA